GAGCGGTTCCACCCTTCCTCCAGCCTCGTGGACAATCTGCTGAATGAGCTCAACATCTCAGAGATCCAGAAGCTCAAACAACAGCTGCTGCAGGTGAGATGATAAGCTGTTTTGATCCATTTACCGTATTCACTGTGTTCAGTCAGGCACCGTCATTTCAGCCGAGTTAGGCTGCAATATCTGCCAAAAAAATAAGACAAACCCAAAGGCAGAAATGTGGCATACTGTGGAGGCACGTTTATAATATACCAAGTCAGTGCGATGCATAGTGTGTAGTTCTGTGTTTGATTGGCTGACAGCTGGGCTGCTTAAATCCTATTAGTGGAAGTTGCATTGAGCGCCCGCCTCATCTGACACAATGAGCTGTCAGTTCAGGCATCTGTCAGGAAGTCAAGTTAGAAACTCTGACCTCTTAACGAGTCGTCTCCATGCATACTGCAGTGTCCAGCGGAGATGTTTGCTGCAATATCGGCGAACAATATGATTATAATATAATAGGAGCAATATGAGAGTGTTGTTGCAGCCAGCAGCACCTTCTGGCCATTATGGTAATCAGACGTAGCCCTCGTGACCTTTGAACACTGCTATTGATCAATCAAGCAATTATTCCAGACACAATAAACCAGCTGAGATGATGTGATTTTCCATACGAACATCTCAATTGAACAAAACACCCAAACCTCTGTGACCAGTAGTGACCACTTCTATCTTTGCATAAATTTTTTATTACAAGTGATTTTCTTCAGTAACATGAAACCCCTTTAAAAAATTCTATCTCCATTTGAGAATGAATTTACTAGGGCTGCCCCCTAATAGTCGACTAACCTTTAGTCAACGAGAAGAGGCTTGGTCGACCAAAATTTTATTAGTTGCTTAGTCGCAGAAAAAAAAGTGGTGAGGTCCCGGACAGATCGTTAACGGCTGGATTTTGTGGTAATACAGTACATCCAAGCATTCGCCTATCATTCATCGACCTCAAATATGGCTTATCATCTGAAATATGTAAGTAGTAGCAACTTTACATGGCCGCTCAATCTAATGTTAACGCGCGCTTACAGCATGACAGATGGAGGCGCCGGTGCGCTCACTTGCTCTTAAGATACTCAATTTTTGGTCATTCAGATAAGAGCAATACATCTTTCGAATCTGTAAAGCCTCTACGTTTATTTGTGTGCACTCACTATAACAACAAAACATTGTGCTTTTGTAAAATAATGAAAGCAAACAGGATGCGCTTTCTGCCGTCTCGGTCTCTGTGAACTTGAGCACGAAACTCTGTGTATACTTGCCTTACAGACATGAAAATTATATCTATACAGAGTGAAATGTCTACTTTCAAATGAAACAATTCAAATCTGAAAAACAAATATTCTCAGATTATGTAATCCATATGAAACTTGTATGCAGGTATGCATTGCATGAATCAGTGTCGCCGACTTCATCTCTTAAGCCGAAAAAACACGGAAAACACTAGTTTATCAATAGATTATTAAAATGTTAATGCAGTTTTTCTCTGACACATTCATCATCATTACTTCTGCTGGTGTGCTGTCGCAAGCTTTTTGCAAGCGCTTATTAGGCTCTGTAGGCAATTAAAGGCTCATTAGCATTACATTTAAATGGTTTATTTATAAACGTGCGATTAGTCGACTAATGCTTAAAATGAACGACTACTAGTCGACCAGACAAATCTTTAGTCGAGGGCAGCCCTAGAATTTACTTTAATGTCATATGAAAGGCCCGTGCTTTGAGAATGTGAAATCAGACATTTTGTGCAAAAGGTTTCACATCATTAATGTCACAAATTAGCTTATTTCAGCTTCGAAATCACAGAAGTTGAAAAGTGAACAATCGCTGTTTCTTTTTACATCATAACATTCTGTGTTGAATCCCAAGGTTTGTAATGTGGTCTCAAACACAAAGAAGAAAAAAGGTCAACCCAGTGCATGACCGTTGAGTTTTTGTATTCCACTCGCACTGTAACTGGCATGAACAAGACAGACAATTAAATCGTTAACCGCAAACCACAGTACCGAGCCCAAACTTCATGACGGTGATATAGACAGGTTTTTCCCATCTCAACAGCCACATTTTTGAGGTGTGTCAGTGCAGGTTAAAGCAGATCACACACCACTGCTTGTTTCAGCAAGTCCTGTAATTCATGTGTAGAGAAAATGTGCTTTTGAAGGAGTTTCTGCTTTTACTGAATTATAAATTAAGTATACTGCAGATTTTCAGCCCGTTTCTGCAGGTCTTTTTTACACAAGTAATTAAAGGGTAATGGAGATCTTTAAATGAGTCATTACATTTTCTTTTCTTGGTCTTAAAAGGTCTTTAGAAAGTCTTAAATGTACTACTTTCACAAAACCTGTAGAATAAACCATGCATGTGTCCTGCAATACCTAATGCAAGAACTCAAAACTCACTGAAATTATTTTCCCCTGGTGTGCAAAGTCGGGCTTTTGGCGTATACATTTGCAACAATGCAACCTATATGAAATCAGAGTGGACGGCATTAGACTCGGCTGAGTGAAGAAGAATGACACTGTGGGATCAAACAGATTGAAAAGATTCACGTCGTGTGTGTGTTTGTCTGTTATTCAGGTGGAGCGGGAGAAGGTGACGCTGCTGTCGACCCTGCAGGAGTCTCAGAAGCAGCTGGAGCAGACTCACGGAGCGCTATCTGAGCAGCACGAGAAGGTCAGCCGTCTCACCGAGAACCTCAACGCTGTCCGCAAACTCCAGGCCAGCAAAGAGCACCAGTCCGCTCTGGACAACGAGAAGGATCGCGACAGCCACGAGGACAGCGAATACTATGAGGTGGATATCAACGGCCCCGAGATCCTGGAGTGCAAGTACAAGGTATAGAAATATCTTTTTTTTTTTCATAGATATTTTTATGTGGTGTTTTCATCTGTGGCAGAAGATGTGAAGAAAAAAATCTAAATCTTAGATGGTGAACCAGTCGATAAATATATTTTCATTCAATGCCTAAAGTATCCAATTAAAAATGGACTGTTTTGTGTACAATGTATTTTGTTCTTATTTTGAGCACAAGGCTGAAAGAAAAGGCCCCTTTGAACTACAGACGACATAACCCATGATTGGAGACTTGTTGGCCTGAAGTATTCCACAAACATTCACATTATATAAAATGCAGAGTTCATCTCTATCGATATTCTTTTGTCTTTGTTCTGCATTATTGACATTTGTATAAGACACCAGACGAGCAGATTTCTGCAGCTGCTCTTTTCTCAAATCACAAAACATAGATTCTGTATTCCTCAAAATGAATCAAATGTCCAGGGAAATGCAAACACTGAACTTTATTTCATAATAATCCATTAAATAATACAAATGCACTTAATGGAATTAATCTCCCTTTATGTGCCAGTGCTGTGATTAAATTCCACATGGAAATGAAATTTCATGTTTCTTTCTTTCTTCCTTTTTTTTTTTCTTTTCGGAACAAAAAAATGGTGGTTTGCATATCTATTTCAATGAATGCAATTCCTTCAGACCAGTGAATATTGGCTTTGTTGATGTTTCCTGTTAACATCACACTCTATTGGAATCATTTGCAAGTGTGAGTTGATTCTCCTGTGAAGAATGTGAAGATAATGGCCATCTAGACATGCATTTCAAATCAGTCATTTTTGTTTTTAGGTTCCATTTAATTTAGGATGCTGCCTTAAAAGGTCCTGCCTTTTTAGACAGTGAAGCAGTTCACAGTTCAACAGTGATGTTGCATGCTGATTCATTTGTACCACAGGTTGCTGTGTCTGAGGCGAGTCAACTGAAGGAGGAGCTCAAAACGTTAAAGGCAGAACATTCAGCCTGTCAATCTCAGTATAAGGAGGAGCGGGTGCAGCTGGAGAGCCAGGTTGCATCTTTAAGCACACAGGTCTCTTCTCTGGAGCGCAGCAGCAGAGCCGACCGCGAGCAGCTGGCGCGGCTCGAGAAAGAGCTCCGTCAAGCCAGCGAAGTGGCAGGCGAATCCCAGGGCAGCCTTAACATCGCACAAGACGAGCTTGCCACCTTCAGCGAGGAGCTAGCCAACCTCTACCATCACGTATGCATGTGCAACAATCAAACGCCGAACCGCATCATGCTCGACTACTACCGCGAAGGTAAGGCTGGTGTTAATGGCACACAGACCACAGGCTGGGGCAGCCCTGACGGTCGCGGACGCCGCTCTCCCATCCTGCTGACCCGCGGCCTCTTCCCCAGCGACGGAGCTTCGTCTCCGGTCTCCTCCGTCCCGTCCCCGGTGCCTGATCCCCGCAAAGAGCCCATGAACATCTATAACCTGGTGGCTATCATCCGTGACCAGATCAGACACCTGCAGCTAGCGGTGGACCGCACCACCGAGCTCTCGCGCCAGCGCATGGCTTCCCTGGAGCTGGGTCTCGGGGCAGACCGAGACCAGGAGGCCAGTGTGGAGGAGATCCTCAAACTCAAATCGCTCCTCAGCACCAAGAGGGAGCAGATAGCCACGCTGAGGACCGTCCTGAAGGCCAACAAACAGGTCAGCATTTCCCCCTCATCGCTACACTGATGGTGCATTACAGCAGTGGCTCTTAACTAGTGTTCCTTCATGACTCTTTGAAGAAGCTGTTTGTTTTTTATGGAAAGTAATGCATTACGTTACTTTTGCGTTACTGTTTGTCACCTGGGCTGGGCTTGCTTATTTGTCTTTTAATAACAAAAAAATAACCCAAAAGTTATATTTTTGTTAACTGCAAAGGCCGTTTCACACCAGAAGTGAAATGAATAAGCCTCCGTCTGAAGGAAGTGCAGGAGAGGCGTCAGTCAATATATAGCAAAACGTAAAAGTAACTTGCTTTACTTATTTGAAAAAGTAACTCAGATATTTCTTTGTAAATTTAAAAATAATGTGTTACTTTACTAGTTATTTAAAAGTGATCTGATTATACTTATAAAGCGTTACCCCCAAAACTGGCGACTATAAGGCATGAAGATATTAAGACATTATTAACATTAACAAGCTGCTAATTGCCCGTGTGTTTGTTGCTGTTTTTCAGACCGCTGAGGTGGCGCTGGCCAACCTGAAGAGCAAATATGAGAACGAAAAGGCCATGGTGACTGAAACCATGATAAAGCTTCGCAACGAGCTCAAAGCCCTAAAAGAGGATGCAGCCACTTTCTCCTCGCTCAGGGCCATGTTTGCCACACGGTATGAGATGCACACTCCTACTGATCTATGAAAACACACATTAGCAACAGTTTATTTGGCCTTATGACACTCTCCTGTATTTCCTTCTCTGTTCTCATCTATCAGTTTGATAGATGGGGCACCTGGACCTGGTTTGATTGGTGCCTATAAGATGAAAAATATAAGGACAGAAACTAATAACTAGGGCTGCACGATAAATCGCATGCGATATTTAACGCGCATCTTATCAGTAAAGCCGGTTCTGTAATCAGCGGTAAATCTCCATCACCTGCGGGCTTTCACATTGAGCAGCATTGACTACACCGAGCCGTTGTGCACTGACGAGCTGCGCCAAACCACGTTCATATTCGCGCGATTTTTTGCGCAGCTCATCAGTGAACAACGGCTCTGTAGTTAATGCTGCTCAATGTGAAAGCCCGCAGGTGATGGAGATTTACCGCTGATTAAAGAACCGGCTTTCTGACAAGATGCGCATTAAATATCGCATGCGATATATTGTGTAGCCCTACTAATAACCTTGTATTTCACTATTAAGTGCAGTTACCAATAACATTACATATTTTGTCTTTTAACAGTAAAGCACTGAGCTGGGGCGCAGATAGAAACTGGCATAAATCTCTCCTCTCTTACATTTAGAGAGTATTAGTGCAGATTGTACACCGAAGAAAACAAAAACTAAAAGCTTGCTCCTCAATTCACACAAATTTAGGCTTTACAGCCCTTATTTCTGCTTTGTATTTGCCCTTGTGAAAACCAGTGTTTGCCTGTAGTATCCAGGCTTTTAACGGTTTGTAGATCATAGACATGTCTTACAAGTTTAGTGCGAAGTAAAATAATTAATATACTTACTGTGAAATATTCATTTTTTTGTATTTCTCTCTTAGAGATATAATTATTATTATTCAGATCTTCCTAAAAACATTAGTGTGAATGTAATTCACAACTATAAAGCAGTTTGAGTCCACTTTAAAGTCCAGGTATAAGTCAATGCAAGGACTTTTTATTACATTTTTTTAATTCTGTTCATTTTAGTCACTGAAAATGTTTCCCTTGATCAGAAAATGAGCACCTGATAAATTTATCTTTAAAATATACAAAGCTTTCTTCCGGGGATCACATAGTCTCACAAGATCTGTGTGCAGACGGTTTGTAGCAAGTAAGTGAGAAAATCAAACTGGCTGGCCTTCTTCCATGTAGGTCAGATGGCCTCTTCCTGTCGAAGTCGGCAGTTTTTGACCAGATTAAGATAAGTTATGTCTTGTGAGAACAGACTCCCAGTGATTGGGATCAGTGTCTTAGGTGCAGAGTCATGTGTGTACAGGGAGTACAGGAGTGGGCTGAGGACGCAGCCCTGAGGAGCACCAGTGTTGAGGGTCAGCGGGGATGAAGTATTGAACAGGTATGGGTCAGAGTAAAACTGCCGTTAAGTCTTTCCGAACAGACTGTAAGCCGTGACAGCATATGGTGCCCAATCAGATCCTCCTGACACGTGAACACCGTCAATGACTTCTCTGTGCTTAACGTGCATCAGGGAGGGAGGAATGGCAAAACTGATGAAACCGTTCTTTTACTCGTTTCAGTGGGAAGCGTTCTCATCAGCAGCTGTGTTCTGCGGCCCCTTCCACAGGCCCTCAGCTGCTCTGGGGCTCCAGGTTTTGTTTTGGCCTGCTCCGTGGGTTATTAATATGCTAATAAGGGCAGATTGTCAGACGGGGGGCTGGATTCTCTTTCCCACAGTCTCGAACATCTCTAAAATCACAGCTCAAGCTATTCCGTCATATTGCACCCCAAAATCACAAGAACGAAGTAAATGTACGTATATATAGATATGCTGTTCTTATTGAGTGTGATTCCTAAACATTTTCACCTTCTCTGTCTGTTTTGTATGGTTTGTCTGTTTCTTCTCTTTCACACTCGTCTCTTTGTTTTGTTTCTCTATCTTCTCTGAGATGATGTTCATTCCTGCGTTGCTGAAAAGCGGCTGAGGTGAATGTGTGTCAAGACGTATGTCACAATAACAATCCACACGCACTCGTGCAGCCGCAGATGGGTTCTGGCGTGATCCCCGGCCTCTTTTCCCGGGAAAATACTGACCCCTGCGTTTAGAGGCGATTGTTCTCTAATGAAGCTGCACTGATTTCTGTTGTGAGGCGCTGTGTCTTTATGTCTCAGACGCACACACTTTAGTGGGCTCGCGGTAGTTTGCCAGACTGAGGCTTGTTCAAAGTTCATGCCTGTGAGAAACTGAGAAATGCTACACAAACAAGCAGATCGACCACTGATGGGTAACAATAAAGTAACCTGGCATGAGAGGCTGCTTTTTTCAACAAGTTTTCAATAATGATTAATGAAAAAACTATTACTATTAGTTAAAATTATCCTTCCACTAAATAACATGGCTCATTAATCTTACACCGTTTACTCTCATGATGTGACAAAACTAGATAGTTCACATTATAATTCAGTTTAATTGAATTTAGAGCCAGAACTTTTCAGAAAGTATTATTTTATATTTGACCTTTCAGATTCTCACGCCTGGTCCTCTGAGAAGGACTGATGAAGCACACCCTTGAGAAAATCTCAGGATTTATGCTTTATGATGACTGTAGGGTGTAGTTGCGTGTTTTGTGGTGATTATGGTGTATTGGGTGGTGTTTAGCATGCACTTACATGCACTGTGCTTTAGGGGGTAGAGATGTAAGTGCAGTTTAGGGAAGGTGTGACTCTGTAATCGTTCTGTCTGTTCCAGGGGGAGACACTTTACATTACACTTGCTGTTTTAATCCATCTCTTTTGACCATTTGACCAAATTAACCATGGTTTTGCTACACTAAACATAGTTTGACCATGGCATTTGTAGGTAGACTCTGGTTATACAAATCGTCCCCTTGGAATTATAAGGTTCTATCTGACATTTTTGTCAAAATGTAGTTATTCACATTAGGGCTGTCAAAATGGCTGAAATCTAAATTCGAATTTTTTACTTAAATATTATCAATATTCTAATTATATTCAAATTTAAAAGGCATAATTTCAGTTGGAGGGGGGGGGAAGCTTTTGGCTTCTCTCCTGAGGCCACAAGAGGACGCATCGAGCAAAATATTATTCACGTTTCTTCAAAGCATAATAAAATAACACGACTATCTTTGAAAAAAGTTTAAAAAGCATAATGTTTAAAATAATGTTTATAGACCATGTATAATTAATAAAGTTGCTTAAACAATTAGAAACAAAACAGCATCATGCATGTATGTGTAGATTAATACAAAGGACCGAAAATAAATCACAAAGAGTACTTTCTTCATTTAAAAACTTGAGATGCAGTGGGATGGGCCATAAAGTCTTGAGACATGTTTTTTAAAAGTTGAACTTAAATTAATTTTACATAGCTTTATAAACATGCGGCTATCTTGTGTGCAACGGTGATAGATGTCCCTCTAGAAAATGTGATAAATATGTGTTCTGTGTGAACGGCTTGGTTTCGGTTTTGACGTAAACATCTTCCCCGCATTGATGATCTTTTTCTGCAATATTTTAATGAACAACGCAGCAGCGCCACATCTAGTGGCTTCAACTGGATAGGCTAACAAAAACATTATAATGCAGCGACACTTACATCGTCATCGCATCTTGTGCATCACTGATAAAGCTGCCTGATGCACACCTCAAATTCGAATGCAACGTTTTTGCATTCGAATGTGGATTTTTATTTTAAATTCGCCGAATATTCACTTTTTTTTTTGACAGCCCTAATACATATATTCTTATTCTGTGACGACTTATTTACATTATGTGATAGATTTTTTAATGTTGTGTACATTTTGGGACTTTTTATTTAAAAAAAAACAAAACAAAAAGGTTCTATCTACACAGTCGAATGGAATGCAAAAACTTTGAAGCTCAATATCTCAAAACTACTCGGAATGCAGATAGATACTTATAACTCCAAGGGGACGAAATTGTAATCAATATGCCATAAACCATGGTTAGTACACTTTTACTATAATAAAACCATGGTTAATGAAGAGAATGAACACGAAAGAAGACGCAGAGCAGCAAAAAGGAGAGCAGCAGCGTTAGTTTCTGCTCTGATTAGTTTCTGCAAAAATCCACCAAATGCTGAGGGCTTGAGTTAGAATCAGGAATGGAACAAGAACATTGTTTATTTTTTGTTTTTTTTAGTTTCAAACCAGACATACAATTTCAGCTGGCAAAGTTTAAATCCTGTCTTGCTAGTGTCAGTTAGGTCAGTAGGCACAGAGGAGGCGTCGTCAGTGGCTGATCGAATGCATTCGACATTTATATTATGAAAGCAGTCCGTTCAAATGTGTTCATAACTTTTCAGACCCCGTTCACACCTGTGTTTAGTGTTGTCCACATGATCTGATCGACAAAAGCACATCTTAATACCAGGGCCTTATGGAGTATGTTTTTTGTAGTACTAATATAGCCCAACTAGGGCTGTCAAAAAAAAATGCGAATTTCGAATATTCGTTGAATTTAAAATAAAAATCCACATTCGAATGCAAAAACGTTGCATTCGAATTTTAGGTGTGCGTCAGGCAGCCTTATCAGCGGCGCACGAGATGCGATGACGATGTAAGTGTCGCTGCATTATAATGTTTTTGTTAGATTATCCAGTTGAAGCCACTAGATGCGGCGCTGCTATGTTGTTAATTACAAATATTGCGGGAAAAGAGAACATCAATGCAGAGAAGATCTTGTTTACATCAAAACTGAAACCAAGCCGTTCACACAGAACGCATATTTTGCGCATTTTCTAGAGGGACATCTATCACCGTTGCACTCGCGAGAGCACAGAAGAGCCGCATGTTTAGAAAGCCATGTAATATTAATGCAAGTTCAACTTTGAAAAAACATATATCGAGACTTTATG